AAGAATAGAAAATAGATGGTTTAATAGTTTTAGAAAATTAATACAAAATAGTTGCAAACCCTTTTGGTATGGTTTGTATAACTAACCTGGTATTAGCCTTCTGATTATGAAACAAATTTTAAATTAGTGCGGCAGACCACTTCTGGGCACTCACAAGGTAGCCAGAGTATGTTGGGCCTAGATATTAAGCTCAACATTATGTAATCTATTTATATAATAATTTTAATAAAGGATTATTGACAAGGTTGCCAAAGATTAAAAAAATAAAAAAATAAATATATATATATATTTTTATATACTGAATAAGTTTACTTATAATACTGAAATACTAATCATTAGTAAAACTTTGAGTAATTTAGTATTTTGTATAATTTTTACTAATAAAATCATACAAATTACTAAATTACTCAAAATTTTACTAATTAATAGTGCTTTAGTATTATAAGTAAACTTGTTCAGTATACAAGAATATATGGGGCTTTTGCAGTAGAAAGGGCGGATACTCGAATATATATAATTTTGAGAAAATCGGATTTGAAATGTTGATCACGTGTAAACAAATCGAGACAAAAATAGGATATTCTTACTGTGGTACTAAAAATAGATTTGCGAATAATCGTCAAGAATTTGATCGCGTCTTTTTTCACGTCTTAAGAGGTACTTTGGGTTTTAACATTGCTGCATTACAGCATTAGAGATTGTATTTGGCGCGAATTGAGAACTGTTTTATTGATAAGTACTACTCTTTTCTAATTTATTTTATGTTATTTTATGTCAATTTCTTTTCCTATTAATACTTTTTTTTTCTATAGGCCTAGACTTTTTTGAAGCGCGAAATTAGCACATAGACTGGACACTAAAGATTAGATTGTACACGGGGTGGGAATTGAGAACTGGTAAAATGATAAATTTAAGTACTAGTTTCTTTACTACTGTATTATTTTATTTTTAATATATTTTTTTAACAGGCGTTAATAGTTTCTTTCTTTTGTAGGTTCGGTTTTGTTGAACAATATTAGACATTAAAGCTTGCACTTGGGCGGGAATTGAAACTAGTCTAATGATAAGTACTAGTTTCTCTTTTTTTTTCTTATTCTATTTTTAATTTCTTTTTTCCTTACAGGCGCTAATGATTTGTAGGTCCGGGCCTCATTAGAACACAAAACCAATACCGAACAATACTAGACACTGGATTTTGGACTTAGGCGAGGAATTGAAAACTGGTCTAATGATAAGTACCAGCTTCTTTTCCTTTGTGTATTTTCATTTCTTTTTTTCTCAACAGGCGCTAATGGTTTCTCTCTTTTGTAGGTCCGGGTTTTGTTAGAACGTGAAACTAACACTTGATAATACTAGATACTGGTGCTTACACTTAGGCGAGGAATTGAAGCTGGTTTAATGATAAGTGCCAGTTTCTTTTCTCTTATTCTATTTGTAATTTTTTTTTTCAACAGATGCTAATGGTTTCTTACTTTTGTAGTTCCGGCTTCATTGAAATGAAAAGTCAATCAGACAATAATAGATGCCGGAGATTGTACTCGGATGGAGAATTGAAAACTGGTTCAATTGTATTTTTAATTTTTTTTTTCTTATCAGAAACTAAATTTCCTTTTTTCATAGTCCGGGAGTTATTGGAACACAAGATTAGCCCTAGATAATATTGAATAGTAGAGATTGTGCTTGAATAAGGAATTGAGAACTAATCTATTGATAAGTACCAGTTTCTTTTCATTTATTTGTGTTTAATTTCTTTTTTCTCAACAGGCGCTAATATTTGTTTTCTCTTGTAAGTTAGGCTTGGTTACGTTTTTTGCAGAAGTCACTTTTCTTCAAGAGAACTAGGACGATATGGTAAATCAGTTTTTGTTCTCATTTTTCTTAGTTTCTTTATTAATGCCTCTTTTCTTCTAGGTATCTTCATCCAAAACATTCGGGATGGGTTTAGGCTACATAAGTATTTCTATTCACTAACATTCGCTTTTGCTTCCTGTAATAAGTCCCATTCTAATAATTATGATTTTATTTTTGTTTTAAGGGCATATTATGGTTTTCATTTAAGGATGTTGCCAATATGGAATTATGAAGCGTAAAACAAGTGTCTAAAAATATTTTTGGGTTTTTATATTATGTGCGTGAAAAAATGTATATTGCCGCATCATCATCATTTTAATCGTGATAGATTCTGATATGATAAATAATAATACAAATAAATTAGTAATTAAATGATCGAATTATGCAAATGTAATGTAACTATGAGGTAATAAAAATGTAATTAATAAAAATGTAATTAATAAAATAAAAATGTGGAGCAGAGCACAAAATCTATTGTAAAATTTCGGAGATTTCCGTCTACGTAAGACAATTTCCGGCTCAACTTTTCATCAGCCGGAAAATTTACGCTACTTAGACAAATTTTATTGGCTATTATATCTGAACCTCCGATTAAAAAGAATATTGTCGGCAAAAAAGCAAAAAAATGCAGATTACATCACCCGGAAATTTTGTACCCTGATGTGGAGTTAAATCAGGGCACAAAATTTCCGGGTGATGTACCTGCTTTTTTTTCGGTAAACGAAATTTAGAAACTCCTGCAATATATTTAATATTATAAAATTTCCGGCCGCTTTAAAACTACGCCATAAGTCAACTTAACTAAACGGAGCTCCGGTATTTTACAATAGAATTTTGTGCCCTGAGTTAAATTATGTTTTATTTATTATTTAATGATTGTAAGAAAACTTCTAAATTTACACTAATATATGAAGTACTGGTATAATTTGTAAATTAAGTAAAATAACATTTAAAGAAAAAATTTAAATTATTAAGTTAGAATAGGTTAGGGTTAGAGGTTTGGGTTAGAGAGTAATTTATCCTAATATTTTGTATAGATTATTTTTTGTTAGAATCTAAAAAGTAGTTTAATAAACAGAATTTTAAGTTATTATACATACTTGTGTTTTATATACAACAGTAGTATACAAATAAAAATTGCCAAATTATAATTAGTAATTTTTTTATAATTTTTTTGGTTTTGGAATTTTTGGTAATGGACAATATTCATCTTGTTTTTGAGGATCTTTAATATGTTGACGTATTTGTTCATATAAATACCATTGTCTTTCTGCTGATAATTCTTTAGGAAAAATTTCTTGTGGAAATCCTGTAATATTAATATTTGGTTTTAAAATATTTATAATTTGTTTATCTTCATTAATTGCTGTTTTAACTTCTATTTTACCTATATTATTTTGATGTAATGTAAAATGATGATATTTTAAAATATTAGGAACTGGCTTAAAAAAATTTGATAAAAATTCTTTCCAATTATAAAAATGTACTACTCTAGTTTTATTTTTATCAAAAATTGTTTGTGCTTGATTAAAACCTCCATTTGTTGAATTTTCTACTACTTTTACTAAATCATTAAGATTATCAACTTCTGATTTTCTTAATTTTAATTTAAGAAGACCAAAAAATCCATCAGGGCTAAATTTTGTATGACCTGCTACCATAAATGAATATGTAATTTGTGTATGTAATCCACATGCAATTCGCCAAGCCAAATACATAATCATTGCATTATTTTTGTTTTGTCCAGCACAATTATCTGCATGAATAACTAAATTGGTTTCACCTAATCCATAATAAGTAAAATAATGATGTACTAATGATATAACTGCATTTGCACCTTTTCCAATACTTTCTTCTTCTTTTATTAAATAATTTTTCTAAATTAAAAATTTATTAAAAATAAATATTAATATAATATTAAATGCTAATATACTTACTTGAATTGGAAATGCATCTTCACAAATTCCAAAAAGTTGAATATTATAAGGAGATTTAAAATATATAGTTCCCTTTTTAAAAAATTAATATAATATATTATTAAAAAAATAAATAACTTTTTTTTTAATTTTAATTAAAATTTACCTCTTGTTGTGAAGAATATGGTATTTTTATTTGTTCAGCATAATCCCATGATATATGATTTTCAACTTTTAATGAATTTGGTTCATTAGGTCGAGAAAAATTAGAAAAATTAGATAGCTGTTGTAAATTAATTTTTGCTGATTGAATACAATTTCTAAAATTTAATAATTATATTAAAATTTAAATTATATATTTAAAATTTTATTAAAAATAAAATAAATACCTATAATATTCTCTTTCTTTTTGTGCCCATAAAATATGATGATTCCATTCAGTTATATATTTTTCAGTTTCTTGTTCATTCCAATATTTTGAATTAAATCTCATATTTTTACATTTATAACATAAATCACTTCGAGGTGATAAAAATTTAATTTCTGGAATATATTTATTCCAAATACGCCAAAAAGTACTTAAATGAAATATATTTTGATTTTGATTTTCTATTGCTGATATATATAATCGATATAATGAAGAATAACTTTCACTTGCAGGAAGAAAAGTTATTGGTAAAGTATCTTTAGAAAAATGTCGTCCTTTATTAATTAAAAAATTAAATTAATTTATTAAAATATAAAATTAAAAAAAATTTAAACAAATACCTAGTGAAGGTAAACCATGAATATTTGCATAATTAATTATAAAAGTAAGTACATTTAAAATTGTTTCAAATGATATAGCAAAATTACTAATTTTTTCAGTTAATTTATGTATTCTTGGACTAATTCCTTGTTGAATAAAATGAGCTCTAATATTTCTCCAATATTTTTCTCCAATTCCGTAAATTATTAAAAATGCATCACTACAAATTTCTATTCCTTCAAATATATATTTACTAGCAAGTCTGCTACGTTTTTGTCCTGTAGTAGTAGTTTCTTGTCGAGTAGTTGCAGATAATATTCCAAATAAAAATAAATCCTTTTCATTATTACTTAAATTTTGAAATTTCTGATAAGTTAAAATGGCATGTTCATGAAAAACTAAATTTTGAAGACATATTTCTTTACAACATACTGTAGTTTGTAATTTTTTATATTGAGCTTCTTCATCTTTTTTTTCTATTTTTTTTTTAATTTTTTGAGTTGAATCTTCATTATTACTTTCATTATCTTCAATTTTATTTTTATAATAAATCTTTTTAAATTTATCTATTTGTTCATTATTTAAAATAGGTTCATTTAAATTAGATTCATCTGATATAATAAATTCATCTAATTCTTCTTGGTTATAAGAATATTGTTCAATTAGATTATTAGATATTGCTTCAACATCAGACTGATAAATTGTTTGAAATTCTTCTACTTGTTGATGTAATGATAATAATTCTGGATGTGTATTATTAAAAATACTATCACATAAAATAGAAATAGAGCTCATAATTAAAGAAGTTTATTAAATGTTTTTATAAAAGATTTATTAATTAAATAAAATTACAATTTTTTATCTAAAAAATTCATTTATATAAATTTTTAATCAAACTATTACTAATTTATTATAAATTATCTTTGCATATCATCATGTAATCATACAATATTCTTAATTCGATTATTCCAGCTGCTATACTAATATGTTTGCAATCATATGATTCTCTTAATTCGATCATCTCACCTATTACGTGTACTTTAATATACCATAACAACATACAATCATATAATATCTCAATTCGATTGACTCATTCATTATTCTGATCTATTGTGATAATATACAATTAGAAATTAGGCCTATTGAAAAAATCCTTACCCGGGTAATCATATAGCAATAATTTCTACCCAGGTCCAATCTTTATATGCAATTATGAATATCCTTAATTCGATCATCCTACCTATTATGCTAATCCATCATGACAACACACAATTATGCAATACCCTTAATTCGATCATCTCGCCTTTTATGCTAATCATTGTGACAACACGCAATTATGCGATACTCTTAATTTGATCATCCTGCCCTGTTATACTTAGAGTTCCTATCCATTATCCGCTTATCTATTTATCCATTGGATATCCAAATCTGAATTTATTCAGATATCCGTTTTACTATTGATATCCGGATACCTATAGTAGATGGATATCCGGATAAATTCAGATATGGATAAATGAATGACGGATTTATCCGGATTGGACCTCTAGTTATACTGATCCATTGTAGAACTTGTTGATTAGACCAGTTCTCAATTCTTCGCCAAAGTACAGCTTCCTGTATCTAATATTGTTTGTTGATTTTGTGTTCAAACAAACAAAAGAAAAAATGTTAATTTAAGAAAAAAAACTAACAATACAAAATAAGAAAAAAAAAACTAGAACTTATCATTAGACCAACTGTTAATTTTCCACTAGAGGTGCAGGCGAATCGTCCCAATGATTGCTGTAACTAGTTACAACATAAGCTTTAGCTAGTTATGGCTTAAGTCGTAACATCATTGGGACATCATTGGGACGATTCGCCTGCACCTCTATTTCCACCCAACTTCATATAGTATTTCCAGTGCTAATTTCATATCTAACAAAATCTGGATTAGGGATTGAACCCAGGTAGAAATTGTTGCAGTATGGTAGAGATTGGACCTGTTGAGAAAATCCCTACCTGGGTATTATTAAATTATTTGGATTATCCAGGTAAATTATTATGTATTTCAGGTAATCATATAGTAACAATTTTTATCTAGATCCAATCCCTACTGTATGATTACCTAAAATGCATAATAATTTATACGAATAATCTGGGTAATTAATAATACTCGAGTAGATATTTTTTCAACGAGTCCAATTTCTAATCTAGATTTACAAAAAAAAAGCAAATATTAGCGCATATTAAAAGAAAAACAAAATTCTAAACAGAATAAGCAAGAAGAGACTAATACTTATTATTTAATCAGTTCTCAATACTCTACCAAGATACAATCTCCGGTATCCAGTATTATCTAAGGTTAATTTTGTGTTTAATTAAGCCTGGATCTACAAAAAAAAAGAGCTATTAGTCTCTGCTAAAAAACAAAAATTAACACAGAGATAAGATAAAAGACTAGTACCGTAAATAGCCGAATACAAGATCCCCTTAGATAGTAGACCCACCAGGTAGTATACCCGGATGCAGTTTATAGGATCTATATTAATTAAACCTGAGTTTTTCAGATATCTGGACTACCTGATATAAATGCAAAACGTGTATGCTCTTCAAAGTTTTCTTCTTAGGGACATAAGCTCTCAGCTGTATACTAGACCCGGGTCTTGTATCCAGCCATTTACGGTACTTATCATTAGACCGGTTTTCAATTCTCTGCTAGTATTGTATTATTTAGTGATAATTTCGCATTCCAACAAAACACAAACCTACAAAAGAAAGAAACTATTAGTGCCTATTAAGAAAAAAGAAATAAATAAAAAAATAATAAAACAAAAACTGAGTACTTAAATTTGTCATCAAACCGGTTCTCACTTCCACCCAAATGCAAGTTCCAGTACCTAATATTGTTCAGTATTAATATCATACTCCAAAGAAGCCCGAGCCTACAGAGAAAAGAAACTATTAATGGCTGTTGAAAAAAATCAAACACAAAGAAAAAAGAAGCTGGATCGGAACTTTTTACTAATCTCCAATATTCAGTATGGTACAAAGCCGAATCTATGAAAAAAACTGGTTGCTTATCACTACAGTGGACCAGTTTTTAATTCCGCGCAGGTATAATCTAAAGTTCCAACAAAGCTAAATTTACAAGAAAAAAAAAGTTAGTGCTTATTGGAAAAAAAATTAAACACAGAATAAGAAAAAAAAAACCGATACTTAAACAGTACTGTACTGTACAACTTTCAGTAGTTCTGTATTTTAACAAATCTAAGATCTAAAGAAAAAAAAAAAAAGGCTAGTTTTAAATAAGAAAAAGAAACTGGTACCCATAATTAAAGCCAGTTCTTGATTTTCCACCAACTTCCGGCATCTAATACGTAGTCCAATACTTCCTTATGCTTCAACGCTCTGAGGTTAACTTAACAGAGCTATTTTTAGAAATTGATCATCACCGATCATCTTTTTTACTATTTTTAGATGCCGATTAATTTCGTGTAATTTTTTTAAATCTTGTATTATCTCGATTTTTTATTATGCAAATCGAATTTTATTTATAATTGAAAAATGTTCCACGTGCCGAGTTATATTCGAATTTGGCAAAAACTCAATTTTCATTTTTGGGGTAGTTTCCGCCCTTTTTACTGCAAAGCCCCCATATTATAACAATATATTTAAATTTATCTTTTTTTCAGTTTTGAAGAAAAGATGCTTAATTTTAGAATTTTTAATCAAAAATTTCAAAATTATGCATCTTTGCTTTAAAATTGAAAAAGATAAAAATAAAATAGGCTATTATGATATATTTTTAAGTGCTAAATAAGTTCATTTATAATACTAAAGCACTATTAATTAGTAACACTTTGAGTAATTTAACATTTTCTATAATTTTATTAGTAAAATTATACAAAATCTTAAATTACTCAAAATGCTATTAATTAAAAGTATTTTTGTATAATAAGTAAACTTGTCTATCACCTTTGAAGATAAAAAAAAAAAAAGTAAACTTGTCCAAAATTTAAAAATACAGTTGACTCTCTCTAAATGTATTGCATTAAAACCAAACTTTTAACAATATGTATTAAGAGAACAATTAAGAAAAATATATTTATAGAGATCAAATATATATGTGGGCCCCAAATTTGAACCTGCATTTAAAAAGAACATGCATTTAAAGAATATATATTTAGAGTGAGTTGACTGTATATTTATATATTTCAAACTTCAAACATGTTTGCAAACTTTCAAATCAAACTTAAACCAAATTCAAATTTAACTAAAAAGTTTGAAGTCAAACTCAAACCAAACATTATTTTTTAAAAAAGTTTGAGTTTGAGTTTGGCTTCAAACCAAATCAAATTCAAACTAGACTAAAAGTTTGATTTGGTTTGGGTTTATAGAAACACTATCTTTAGGCTTTGTTAACAACTGTTTACTCTAAGGTAGAACTGAAAAGTATCTGTTTTGAACATTTTTATATTATTTTTCTGTAGTTTAGTTTTTGTTATTATTGGCCAAAGGATTATTAGAAAGAGTTGACAATCATCTATCACTTTTGTTGTAATATAATTTTTATATTTTTAATTATTATTATTAAAAATTTATATAGTTATATTAGACAATTTTAATTGGCTAAGAATACTATATTATATAGTATCTAATAACTTCTCTAATCTCCTTCTCTTAACAAATTAGATAATAAAAGTGTGGTAACTTAGTGAAGTTGGTAAGTTGTTATACCCAAGTAGCAAGACAAGAGTTTGAATACCACTAGCAATGAAATTTAAATTTGCAAAATATGTTATACTGTAGTAGACTATATAACATATTGATTGAGGCAGCATCTGTAATCTTGATTGTACTAGCTCATACTGAAAGGTTGTAAAACAATAGTATGATATATAAGTTACATGAATCCTAAGTAAAGCAGCCAAATTAATCTAAAAGATCGAGAGATACAAAAGCCCATTTAAGAAGTTCTAATAGAGAAGTAGCACAGATCTTTAATAGTGCTATATAAAAGATTATTATCTGATGAACTAAACACTGAAAGTAAACTAAATAAGGACCAAGTGTTTGGCAAGTACAGTACTATACCAAACATGCTGCCAGATAACTGAAGGAAAAGAATTTATTCAAAATATTAGAAGATGTTTACTGATCTCTTTCAAACCATTTAGATTAGAAGTTTGAAGCACTAATAGGATAGTTTATAAAGTGGGTGCTGGGTTTAAGTAAACTTTGTAAAGGCAAGAAGTAAGTGATGATAGTGGAAATAAAATACTACAAGTATTTGGCTGTGGTTAAGGTATAAGTTATTAAAAATCTAGATGATATATATGTGGGATATAAATACTTTAGTAGGTTTATTACAAGGATAAAGAATCCTTTTATATAGTAGTATATATCTGCTTTAAAGTTCTAAAAGGTTTTCACAGCAATTCTACTTTAGGAAGAATATCTGTTGATAGCACTAAGTTGATCAAAGAGTTTAATTAAATAACCCAAATAATAGTAAATTATAAATATAGCATCTAGTATAGAACCTAGTAATAGGCAGACTACTTAAATTAAATGCTTAAAAGATACAGGTTTGGCTAGAATATACTTTTGTTAATATAACAAAGTCAGAAGCTGTCTATATGGCTGTTCTGGCATTTGAACTGAAGTTAATAAAATGTGCTAGACCCCTAAATGGTCATCTTAACATTAAAAAAAACAAATCAGATGATAAATATATATACTCTAATTAGTTTTGTATTAATACTATAACTTTTAAAGTTTTTAAGCTAAATTGTTTAGTTTTTTTATTGTCC